TTCTTCTTCTCGTACCAACTCTAGGCATCGAGGTCTTCGATCATGGACTATCCTAGCCGTTCGACGGTGGCCAGGCAGGGAGAGGGAAAATAAGCAAGAATCGAAGGCAACGCGCTCAACTCATTGATCATAAATCCCACCGATACTCAATCTGGACACCGATTCGAGCACCTAGGTAGGTGAGCTGCTGCCCCAAATCCTGGTGATAGGTGGGATTGACCCGGCTTTGCCGGAGCTCGATGCGACGCAGGTGAGGCGTCCGGGTTCTGCAATCCGACGCCTGGTGCCATGCACAAAGCGTTCCCAAAACATCGGAGCCCCGCGAAGTTTAGTATGGGCGGTGGAAGACTTTCATCCGGATACCATATGTCGTCTGTGAGGCGTAGGATCTTGAGATTCCTTGGAAGGGTCTCCTTTGTAAGCGGCCAGCTGAGGCCTGTGTAAGATTGCGCGTAGAAGGAGGGGAATCGGAGGAGATTGGGGCTCCCTCCAGATCCAGAAGATCTCACCGTAGAGGAGTGGCTCAGCATGTACACGCAGAATCTTATGTACTAGACACAGCAAACGATGTTCAGTGCGCGACAACTATTCGAAGTTTAAGCGGTATATCTCTGCCGGACATGCAAGGATGCCGGAGGTCTGTAGGGTTTCTGACCGCATTGTTGTTGATATCGAAATGTTCGAGAGAGGAGATGGGAAGGGAACAAAGACCCAGAAGAAGGCGTGGGGGATTGCGATCCATGCCATATTCTGGATTCGATCACGTGTGCACAAAGAGCCCAGCTTCCTTTGTTCAGTGATTTGGCGTGAATTGATGCTCTTGAATCCCACGGCAACATGGCCTGCCCCGTTGGCTATTGCCATATTGCCATCACTCTGAGCTCCTACATCTTAGAAGAACCGAGACATGATCTCGAAGACAAGGGGCAGGCGCGACGAGAGTCACGTGGCTTCTTGCCTTTAGGCCTCCTCCAACAGATCTAGATGAAGGAGGAAGGACGTCCTGACCGGGTAAGGATTCAGGCTATGGTGGAGATGTCGGTATAGCCACTTTGCCATGGTTCAGCAAGACTACATATTGGTAAAGCATGTAGTTATCATGGATTCCCTGTTGGGGTTCCGGAGGGGGCATACATTGATGCCTCAGGCACTATTGATCATCGGTTTGCACCTCATCGATCGATGCCTTGTCTACTCTTCGATCCCACCCTCAAGTTCACCTGCGAACTCCTTGACTATCCACTGACACCAATCTTCAAATGCAGTCCGCCATTCCCCCAGCCGTGCGGCTTTGACTCCCTCCGTTACCCGCCCCTCAACTCCCTCTAACCACGCCGTCTCGTCCTCATCCTCAAACGCAGCCCACCGCACACTATCCTCCGCCATCTTCGCTAAGCCCCCAAGTCCCGTGTTCTCAAATGCAAGCAACACCTGATAGAAGTCATAGCTAAGCCCATTCCCCCCATGGCCTAGGATTGCGGGATCATCGTTGTTCAACGAGACCGCCACCCCGCGCGCCTGCAGCGCCGGCATCGGATGCGTGAGGATATTCGCCGTGAGACGCAAGACCTCGTGCGAGATGGGACACATCTCGATCAGAATGTTCTGGTCCTTCACCATTTCAATCAGCACGGGGTGCTTGTACAATGAGAACGCGTGGCCGATGCGTCGCGACTTGAGCAGGATGGCGTCCACTAGATTCGCGTCGGTGGCATCGCCATCCCCCAAGCACTCGCCAGCGTGGAAGAAGAAGGGGATTTGCAGGGTGCGTTGGGCGCATTCTTGCTGGAACCACTCGCAGAGCGGGAGGAGTTCGATCAGCGGCCGGCCTAGATCCTCTTGGCCGACGAAGTCAAAGCCGGCGATTACCGTGGGATAAGCGGCCTTGCTGGAGAGACAGTCTTGCATGGATGCGCGCAGAAGGCCGTCTGACAGGCTGCGGATGGCGGTCCAGATGAGGCGGGCGCCCCAGAAACCGGACCCGTCCGCGGAGGAGCAGTACCGCTGCAGCTCCTGGGCGAAGCATTCGAGGAAGTAGTGGCTGTCGGGCTCAGGGGTGTCCGACCCCGTCCGGTGGAACGGGCGCGGTACGAGACGCAGTTCGACGTACTTGATCCCGTCGGAATGTAGCTGCTGCAGGAGCCGGGGGACACAGCGACGGAAGATAGGTTCCGAGTAGAATAGTCCAGCGATGCCGCGGAAGCAAGAGGCGAATTTCTTCCAGATGTCGACGATGCCCCGGTGATGGTGGTACAGGGCTTCGTCCTCGGTGATGGTCATCTGGGAGATGGCCCAGGATTTGAATCCCGACACCCCGCTGGGATGGGTGCGAGCGACTTCGGTGATGGGGATAAGCTCGTTTGGAGAGTAATCAGCTTCCCAAATGGATGCAGTTGCTTCAGCGACCGGCCGGTTGGGTCGGTAGTAGAATTCAAAGGCTGGCGGGTTCGTCGATGCGCCAAGCATCAGTGACGCAGGGCTGGACATCCAGAATCCGGGGATCTGCAGCGCCTGGTCGAGCATCCAGTCGATGTCAATCATCGCCTCCATATGCGCGTGCAGGAGAGAGCCCTTGGGCATGGCTGACACGATTCTCCACAACGAGGTTTTGTGCATCCGATCGCGCGAGATAGCGAATGACATGCCAGGAAACACGACGGGGTGCTTGGCCTCACTGTGACTTCCCTCAGGGGTTGTCCAGAAGATCTCCGACTCTCGCTGGCGGATGCGGGCGACGATCTCCGCGGCCTTTTGCGCCGTGGTGGACATGTTTGTCTTGAAGGCATGGTCGTGGCGGATGGTTTTCTCTTGATCCAGCAAAGCAGAGCGCTCCTGGAGGTGACGTTGGAATTTTGTCTGCGTCATTCTGGGCTGAGAGGTAGTCGATGGAGATATGAAGAAACAATGGAGGGGAAGTTCAGAGGCTGTGTAGATAAGCGGGGTGTTGATCGGCCGCAATCAGGATGGATTGTCCCTAATTGCCTCTTCGGGCCAATTAGCACAATTTCGACGGGAGGAAGTGGAGATTAGCCGCTATTACCGTCGCAAATGGGGAAAACAACGCTTTGTGAGCGCAGTGCTGAGCATGTCAAGAGGAACATCTTAGCTCTTTTGGCTCCGCTCCCAGTCAGGCAAGGCCCATTTCACCATCCACTCCGACTCAAGCACCTTCTCGGCACTGGGTCGCTCCTCCGGCCGGAATGCCAGCATTTGGCGCCTCAAATCGAGGAATGCAGCTCTTTTCTATTCTTTAAATTCTTCTCTCCTCTTACGTCTCCATTTTTGCACTCCGATTTCGAATGATTTCTGAAGCGGAGGCCATCGAATTTTTTTGTAGAGTTCCGTAAGGCAACCGTCCTCCTCGAAGAAGCTCGACCGTTTCTTCTATTTCTGCTACTATTCTGAAGATATAGGCCCTAGTATGTTGATATGCTGGGCTACGATCTCATTCTCAGGTATGATATTAGTGCTGAAAATAGCTTTTATGCCAATAATTTCTTAGATTGCTGTAGCCAGACTCCAGATATCTGAAGGATAGTTAAGTAGACTCTGCGGTTCGAATATGGCTTCTGGCGCCCGGAATGCTGGTGGCGTATGGCAGTTTTGTTTAAGGCGGACATCTGAAGCGGGTGCAAACGTCTTATTAAAGTTATTCAGTAGGGGTCGGGCATCGGATGTGGAGAATTTCTCCGCGTATTTGCCTAAAAATAGTAGAATGACAATTTTGACTGGGGTGTTGGAGGGTAGTACTTCCCCGTCGCACTATATAATAGAAACTGTCTCGGGTTTACTGTATTTTTTATATAAATGTATGATGGAAAGGTTATCGAAGCTAGACGGGAGCTTGACAAGCACATTATTTAAATAAATGTCTGAGAAAATGAGTTTTTGAATGTCAGCTGGCGGTAATGCTATCGGGAGATATATAGTTATAGTTATAGTTTATCTTCGTAGGCATAGTTCTGAAAATATGTATATCCAACAGCTAGTGTGAGTTTATATGCTAAAGCTCGGACAAACTCGAGGAGGAAAAGTCGGCTGAAGAAGATCTCGCGGAGATTATATTAAGTAGGGGTCACTGTATAGCACGTATAAGTTCCATTCGGACTATATACCTCGAATTTATCTGAGAGTACAGGCACTAAACTACGCCCGGGGTAGACAGCCGCGGGCGACGGAAAAGGAGCAGATAAAGCCTTAAGAACTTTAGTCTTACATAATAGTAAGTCTGCTATGTTGACTTTAAGGACAACATATCGCTTCAGATTATTATCTAAAACAAGCCAAACTGTCGAATATTCTTTAGATCCGAGTTTATCAACAATATGATATCGATTATATAAGAGGTTGCTAATCATGACAGGATGATAATCCTCAGACTGGTAATTTTCGAGCGTCTCTATACCTTTAATCCAGTTGTACTCGATCCGATGGTTCCCGGCTATTATGGAGCTCAGGCGTACAAAAGACCCCGGTTCGAGGTTTCGATGCCATAGGATCCTGGTAACTGAGACTGGAAATCGAGGTGACATGTATATTGGCATCAGTGATGAGGGCAATCTCAAGCAGCGTAAGATAATGTGTCGGAGTGATCAAGATATGGCTGAGAATACTCAAGCAATGGCAGTTCATGGTGTTTGCACTGTTTGGTTGATGCGAGACTCATTGCGGTCACGTGGACTTTCTGCCTCAGAAACGAGGTGCTGACGGAGCACGGAATAATTTCTTCCGAGGCAAGTTCAATTGCCTCAGGCGGGAAGGTTACCACCTTTCGAGTCAGATGATATCAATTCCAGTCCATAACCAAATTCTCAACGGCTTAGTTACCGAGTCAAGCGCAATTCCCGGCCCGGTCCAGAGCGAAACAAATCCAGGAATAATAATGATAAGGAAAGGAAAGAAAGGAGAAGGCTCCACCGTGCGGGCTCTGCAGCACAAACCCTATCATTTCCGAGCCGCCCAAATCCCGCCATTCCCGATCCTCGGCCTTTCTTTCATCGCATCGTCTCCGCAATGCGTCTGTCCATCTCCTGCGACAGCTGTCGGTAGGCCACCTATCAACACGAATCCATTATACTGTTGAGCAATCACTAATAAAATCAGCCGGTCGAAAGTAAAATGCGTGCACGACGGCCAACCCCCGTGTCGCCGATGTCACCGCCTCAACCGCGACGATACCTGCGTGCTCACCGACCCACGCTCCCCCGCGGCGATACGTACGCCTCGCAGTCGCCAATCCACCACTCCATATTCCAGTAGCACGCTGCGTCGCGCAAGCAGAGCGACCGATGTCGCGCCAGAGCTTAGCAGTCCTGTCATGCCCCGTACACCAGCCACGCCCATCGCAACCCTCTCGACCGCCACCCTGATCAACGCCTGCGATATCTACCGCAAGCGCTTCCCCGTCGTGAACTTCCTGCACTACCCCTCCCTGATTGCCGACCTGTCCAACGATCTCGCGTCCGTGGACCCAGTCTTCCTGGCCTCGCTCCTCTCACTATGCGTGCGGTTCATGAGCGACGATGACCTCGCCCCCGAGGAGACGTACGCTACCTACGCGCGGACTCAGCTGGCCCATCGCGCCTTCGAAGCGCCCTCGCTCTACCTTGCGCAATCCCTGGTCATGCTCTCACTGTACGAATGGGGATCGGGCCATCCCTACCGTGCGTGGATGTACAGCGGTACGCACCCCTTTCTTCCCCCCACCCCAAACTCTCTCCATCGTACTAAAATAAGCATCAGGAATGGCAACCTACATGCTGCAAACCCTCCTGAAAACCGCCGACGACAGCATGGAACACAATCCGGAGGACTTCCACGCGGCCCCGCAGACCCAAATCGCCTACGAGCAGCTTGTCCGCACATATTGGTGCTGCTTCGCACAGGACTGCGAGCTCAGCTCCGGCGCGCGGCAGCACATCGCCCTCTCGTTCCGACAGATCCTGGTGCCCCTTCCCATCAGCGACCAAGACTTCACATTCGGACGGGTGTGTCCGACCCGGCTGATGCCGAGGGACATGACGCAGGGGTCCTCGTCGCGAGTGAAGGGGTTGCTGACGATCGACCGCGGTTTGAGCATCGTGACCCGCGGGTTCGACATCTTCGTGCGGATCCTGCGGTTCGCGAACGAGAACCGCCGCGGGCGGGCCGGGGGTGATTCCGCGGGGATGTGGACAACCCTCAAGGGGGAGCTGGACGAGTGGCGCGAGTTGCAGGACGTCACGGTGCGGTTCCCCCAGACGAGCGCCCAGGCCCACGTCGCGCTGGGATATGGGGAGTTGTTCGCGTACATCAACCTAGTGTATTTTATGAGTCGTCTCTTCCTCTACCGCGACGCCTTCCTCTCCACCCACCCGCCAGCCTCAGCCTCCGCCCCAGCCCCAACCGCCAGCGCCACAACCACAGCTTTACAAACCGAAACAGACCCCGACAAAGCCCTCGGCCACCTCTTCACCGCCGCCCAGCACATCGGCAGCATCATCGCCGCCCTTGACGCCTCCGGCACCCCCGTCATCACCTCCTACGCCGGCTACAGCGTCTTCGTCGCCGCCCACATCAACATGTACGGCTCCGTCGTCCCCGCCCGGTACCCCGGCGGCCGCGCGCGCGCCGAGCACGAGAAGAAGCGCAACTTTGATTACCTCGAGAGGTTGTGTCGGTATTGGGTTGTCGGGCATAGTTGGGTACGTACCTCCCTTTCCCCATCTCTTTTCCTTCTTGCCGTCTTGGGTGGTTCGAATGGGTGATCCTTGTGGGTATGGGTGTGACATGGGCATGGGCATGGTCATAGGGATGGGCACGCGCTAATGGATGTTGCCAGTGGCGCACCCTCCAAGAAGCGAACCGATTCTATTCCACTGCCAAGCTGCCGGGGAGTCTTTCGGGGACGAATGCGGCGTCCGCGGCGGAACGGAGTATGGAGAGGCCGGATCATCTTACCCTGGCGGGGACGTTGGACGAGTATGGGGATATTCGGGTCGAGAGGCCGGAGATCTCCGCTGCTCGGTCGAGGAGTGGGGAGGGCGATGCTCGGGTCGAGGTTGACTCCGGTGGTAGTGGTAGTGGTAGTAGGGCTGCGCGGGGAAGTGGAGGTGTGGCTGCTGGGGGAATTGTCTCGCAGTTGCCGACTACGGCTGGGGCCGGCAGCACTGGCATGGCTACTGCGGATTATGTTGAGCAGCAGCTGGGGTCGGAGATGGTGCAGTGGCCGTTCTTGGACGAGAACTGGTCGTTGGGGTTCGATCTGGGGTTCGATGCTGCTTGGCCTGGGTTAGGGTGATGACATCGCATTCTGCATCGGTAACCCGGGATCTGGGGGTAATGGTACGAGTAGTGTTTACGATTCCCAGAGACAAGCAGGATGATAGTCGTGTATTGGGATTCATTCATAATCAGATAAAATAAGCAAACGGTAATCTGTCTATCGATCCCCCCCCCTCTCCCGCTCAGCCCGCAACTTAGCCACCACTCTGCCCCCTAACATCACTAAGCTATCCGCATTCACAATATCCAACGTACTGACATTCGCCCCCATTTCCACCTTGATCCAGTTGCGCAACTCCACCGCCGCCAGCGAGTCCAATCCGTACACCGACAGGGGTTGCCCCGGCTCCACCTGCTGCGAGTCGTCCCACCGCAGCATCTGCGCCAGCCGCGTGCCAAGGATCTCCAGACAGGTCTTCTGCACGAGCTGCTCGTCGGGCTCCGTCTCTTTGTCTACCTGGAACATTCTGTGGAATTGTTGCACCGCGCGCGCAAGGGGGTCGGTCTTACTCTCGGATCCACCGGCGGTAGAGGATGACTCGGCGCGGTTAATGGCGAAGAGCGTGCGGAACCGCGGATCGAAGCGCAGCATGGACTGCTCGGGGTCTTGCGGGAGGGCGAGGCCGGTGATCATCTGCGTGATCGGTTGGTTGCTGGGGTTGGTAGTGATGCTGGCCTGGCAGCACAGTGCCGCGTCGAGGATCGCGTGCAGGGCGCTCTCGGGGATGGCGGTGGTCTCGATAGAGCGCTGGTAGCGCTGCGAGAGGGCGTCTGACTCGGCGATGACGCCCACGTCCTCGATCACGCCGAGGTTGACCGTCAGGCACTGGGCGCCGAGGGAGCGGCGGTACGCGGCGAAGGAGTCGAGGAAGCTGTTGGCCGCGGCGTAGTTGGCCTGGCCCTTGCTGCCGACCACGCTGGAAATGCTGGACAGACACAGGAAGAAGTCCAGCGGGAGGCGTTTCTCGATCGCCACGCTGTGCAGGTTCCATGCGCCGTGCACCTTGGCTTCGATTGCTTGATGGAATTCCCGGACCGTCATCGTCTCGTATGGCCGGTCCCGGAGGACCATTGCGCCGTGGATGACTCCTTGAATTGGGTAAGGCGCGCGCGTGAAGGCTCGTCGCACGTCCACGATGCGCGCCACGTCCCCGCGGCAGTCGTAGATCTCGCAGCCCAGTGAGCGGCATTGCGCGATCACGGCCTGCGAGCGTGGGTCGCGGCAGCCGCTGCGGGTCATGATTACGATGTGGCGCACCCCGCGGTAGGCAAGGCGCATGGCAAAGCTGCCGCAGAGGCCTTTGAGGCCGCCGACGATGAGGAAGGCCGAGGTGTCGGTGATGGTCACGTTGTGCTGCAACCGGCGGACGGGCACTGCTACGTCTGCTGTTGCTGCACCGTCGCTGATGACGATCTTGCCGATGTGCTTGCCGCTCCGGAGATAGGCGAATGCCTCGGTGATCTGGGTCATCGAAAACGGCGTAATACGTGTGATGGGGGTGATATATCCTCCGGCGATGAGTTCGAAGATGCGCTTCATGAGCCTGTAGGGGGTGATTAGGTATGTCAAATGGTTTATCTTGGGGACTGCTTACTGGAAATGCACTCCATCACGCATGATCTTCGCATGGGAGAGATCGACGGCCCGGTAAGAACAGCCGCGATCGAACGGCTCCATCGAGAGATAATTGCGCTCGACAATGTCCCGCTTGCCAATCTCGACCATCGTGCCTCCGTCGGCACAGATTCGCCAGGTAGCATCGAGCAATTCGCCCGTCAGTGAATTCACAATGACATCGATACCCTCGCCATTCGTGAATTTCATGATCTCCGCAGCAAACGCAGTACTCCGGGAAGTGAACATGCGGTCGAATGGGATGCCGAACGTCTCGTGCAGATACTGTCGCTTCTCATCGGTGCCGACCGTCACGAATATCTCTGCTTCGGCGTACAGCGCAAGCTGGATGCATGCGATACCCACGCCTCCGGCTGCTGAGTGAATCAACACCCTCTGGCCCTTTTGAAGATTACCAATGTTGAACAGAGAGTAGATTGCCGTGGAGTAAACCACCGGCATACTAGCCGCCTCTTCGAATGACATGGACGCCGGAATCTTATGAGTGTACCCAATCGGTACCTGGACTCGGTTTGCCAACGATCCCTTGATGATGAAAGCCATGCGACTGCCTACAAGCTCCGGAGACAGTCCAGCGCCCACGCGTCTTACGATGCCCGCGCCCTCCAAGCCAAGCAGGTACTCGTTCTCAGGTACAATACCCATCGTGACGGCCACGTCCTTGAAGTTGAGGCCAACAGCCCGTACTTCAATCTCGACGTCATGGTCTGGTAAGACGGCTTCGGCGATTTCGCAGAAGGTAAGTCCGTCAAGTGTGCCTAGTCTCTCGGCTCGGAGCTGGACAGTGGAATCGAGATCGTGGATTCGGGTCAAAATCGGCATGTCGGTTTCTTCTTCAATGGCTTTGTCCAGACGCTTGTATGGTTCAACGCGGTGGATGTGGATGATGCCATTGCGTTCGGCGTACTCGCAGTCTGTAACCCAGCGGGCTTGTTGACGACTTAATTGAGCTAAGGCGTGCACGATGGCGCTCGGTGCAAAAGGGTCATCCCGGCTCTCGACATCCAGCGTCATGACCACCGCCGACGGATCTTCAGATCGGATTGAGCGGAACAGACCAGTGATCATAGCGTTGTCTGGCTCCGTCACTCGCATTTGTCCTCCGTGTGTGACCCATAAGATCCTACAGCCTCGTGTGACGAGTCCACGCAGACACTGCCATTGCTGGTCCGAGATTTGAGGCAGGACTGGGGCGAAGAGCTCATCAATGACCAAGACAGTGCTGGACTCGGGAATGTTGTCAGGGTTGCAGACATGCTCGATTGCATCCCAGCCGGCCGCGTGGAAATGTGCCCGGATCGCCTGAGTCAGACATGTGGATGGCTCCATGTAAAACACATGAAGCGATCTGGAAGTTCCACTCTTCTTCGCGGCCGGATATGAACCACATAGATATGCCAGGCCATCGACTTGAGGGACTTGTAAGACCTGCGAGAGCCCAATTTCATCAATCTGCGACGATTGGTCCGCCGCATCTTGAGTTTTGAGCCCGGTGAGTAAAATACGTCCGTCAGTTGACAGGAGAGCGTTCGCGGTCCTTAATAGAGAAGCTATCTCCTGGTCCGTGCTGTAGTTAATAATGATAACATCAAAAGCCTTCTCTGTAGAATCTAATCCTAGAGCCTCGTCTTCTCGGTCGTAAATGGAGAAAGAAACGTTCTTCCTTTCCCGATAGCGAGCTTGAAATCGGTCAAGTGCCTCGATGTCCTCTCCCAAGCAGCAGTATCTACGATAAAATTCCGTAGCAGTGGAGCCCTTTCTCTCGAACCACGTGCTGGTTTCAGCTCCTGCTCCTAGGTTAATCTCCAGGATATCCAAGGCAGGATTCCTATGAGCCATCAAATCAAGAAGATACGGTACCGACTCCTCCTGAGGGATCTTCAGCTTCGACAGCGCATCACACATCAAAGTGGTAACGTCCGGCTTCCAGACATCGCGCGTCAGCCACTGTGAGGCAATAGGATCTACCTCGAGATCGATAAGATGGGTTGAAAAATTCTTCAGCTGCATGAGCAGCGCCCCGGTATCAGGATCGTACATGGAGACGTCAGACCAGAAGCTCTTTCCAGTATCCTCGCGCCCTCTACCGGAGTATGCACTGGTTGCGACAGCCATTCCCGAGGCCGGGCGATTCGGGTTCGGGTTGATGATCAGGTCGTCGAACGCTGATGGAACGAGAGGTTCCTTGAGGCGTGTACGGAGTCCTTCGCAGAATGCGGGGGCTGTCGCTCTAAAGATGCCATCAAGAGCCGCAGGATGGTAAGGATAGTGTGACTGAGCCTTCCCAGCGGCAGAAGGCTCAGAGAGCGTCACCAGAGAACGAGAATAACGCTTGCCCGCGTGTGCCTCGACTTTTTCGAGTAGGTAGAATGCCGGGCCGTATTCAAATCCCATTTCAGCAAATGCCTTGGTCCAGAGGTCTCCGGCCGTAGGATTTACGAGAGGGGCAATGTCTCTTGTGGAGGCGACGTCGGGAGTAGGGTCTTGAACGCGGATCTGACCACCTGCGTGCTTGATTGTGGCGCCGCCAGCATGACTGGATGACACTGAGAACTCGTACCACACATCCTTGGATCCCGGGAGAGGGTTGAGAGATAAGTATACATCTGGTTCGATTCCTTCTTCAAGCGTGAGAGCCATTTCGAAGCGGACATTACGTAGGTGATAACATAGCTCACTCGCGGTCTCAGCAGAGGTTAGGCCGTTCATTGACTGTAACTGGTAAATTCCTTCAATAGCCATGGAGAGATAGCCGGAACCCGGAAAGACAACGTTCGAGCCAATGCGGTGATCCTTCAGCCACGGCAGATTGGTCAAGTTCATCGTCTTCTTGAACAATGGTGCTCGCCAGGATGTGCCGAGGACCTTGCTGCCGATCAGATCGTGCTGGACAAACTTCTTGAACCGCCAATCCCGACTTGCGGCGCTTTCATTCCAGTACTTCGTGGAGTGGTTCCAGCAATAGTTGGGCAGGTCGATGACGACACGCGGCGCGGAGGGCTCCGCATCTTCGTTGACCTGTGCCATGTCAACGGGGAGACCGGAGAGGTATAGTTCACCAGCGACTCCAAGCGTCGCGCGGATCGAGCCTTGACCTCGTTTCAGCGCCGCAAGGTAGGCAGTACCCGTCACCTTGCTGCCCATGCTAGCCATGATCTGTGCAATAGGTCCTTTGAGGGTACCACTTGGACCAATCTCAATGAGTTTGTCAATGGGAGACTCTTCGGACAGCATGCAGCGAACAGCGTCGTCAAATCGAACAGGGCATGTCATGTTAGTCTTCCAGTAATGGACGTCGGGTGCCTGCTCTTGCTTCGAGCCATGAACCGACGAAAACATGGACACTGAGTCAAGTGCCCTGTTGCCGTGTAAGGTTGGAGGCAGATCTCTCGCCAACAGCCTCTCGTAGGCTACTCCAATACTTTCCATGTACGCAGAATGATAGGCCATATCGACCTGCAGCATGCGCACAAAGACGCCTGCTTCTACCAGTTGCGACCTTACCTCCTCGAGTCCT